ATATAGGATAATAAATATATGAATAATAAATATATAATATATAGGATAATAAATATATAAAAAATAAATATATAAATAATAAAAATAAATAAAATCCTTCTCTTTCTTATTTCTCAGGTAGCCCAGGAGGAGCTTTAGATCTGAGGGTTTCTGGTGTCTGGAAGCAGATGTGGAGCTGAATCACCTGCAGCCCGACGGACAAAAGTAGGTCACCCCCAGCATCCCGGCCGTTCTGACCCAGTTTCTGCCTCTTTCTGCAAGCTTGCTGTTTTAAAAAGTCCCCAAAAGAGGTTTGACGCCAAAGTCTAAAAACATGGAGCTGGATGCTTAACCCTATAATGCCAAATGTGTCATATTTGATTCATATGGTTTCTGAAGTCTTTTGGATCAAACCCCTGTTGTACACATTCAGATATACCTGATAACAGCCAGTAGAAGACCACACCAACATATATTTTTGACTTATTGCACTTATTATCAATTAATTTGATCAAAATAATTTCAGTTTTTTCTTCTTCATATGTTGTTGAGGGGCCAAAGAAAGACTTCAGACTAAACAAAACCAATATTCTTCCTATTTTTCTGGGATCAGGCTTTAAAGGATTATTTTTACATGAATGTTTTTTACAATTTATTTATATTTTTTAAAGAAAACAATCAAAATATGCGAGGAAGCAATGAAAAAAAGGGGGTAATATGCTAAAACAACCATCTTATCCCATGTTATTGTCACTATAATTGTCCTCAAAACGGCCCAGTTCTTCCATTTGTCTCCACATAGATCTTCAGTTTTTATCTCATATGTCAATAACTCCATCACATTTATCGCATTTACCATTCTGTGGTAGTCCAGCTTGTTGTTTCCCTTCTTTTTACATTAAATCATGAGAAGTGGATTCAGTTTTTAGACGGGTTATCCTGTTGAATCCGGAGGTGAAGAGCAGCCCACTGTGATCCTCTCAGAGGTCCAGGGAGAGAACAAAAAAGCTCAAAATAACTCCACCAACCACCTCTGGCTCCATTTTCTGCCAAACAGAAGAGGAAGAGGAGCAGAAAGAGCCGAAGAGTCTCAGAAAAATGTGGCAACCGGCCAGGAAAGGACAGATGTGGGTGTCTCTGTGTCCATGTTCAGAGCTGTTTCACTTTTCAGGAGGAAGAGGACACAAACAGGCCTTCATCCAAGTCGGCCATTTTGATTAGGTCACCAACAGGAAGATCCCAGGCAAGAAAATCGTAACTGCTTCATGGCAATATAGACATTAATTTAAAAATAGTGAAATTAATCTTGCAAACACTGAATTAAACTCTATCCATAATATTATGTTAAAATAGTGAATGTTAAATAGGTTTGTACAATAAGTCCAAACTAAAAAATATTTATTTTTCACAATTATGAAGGGTTAGGATTAGGGTTAGGAAACAACGTTAGGTTTAGGGTACACTGCAAGATAACATGGCGGGACAATGAATTTCAAAGTAAAACGTAGATTTTTGTTGATTCCCTGTTTATTTTGCATGTATTTGATGTAAAACCTTTATTTGCCAACCGGTCCTACCCCACGGAGCTGAGCGCACGACCCAAACTAACCCAATCCAGCCCAAAACGGACCAAAACTGACACAAAACTGACCTAAACTGGTCCAAAATTAAGCCAAACTAACCCAATCCAGCTCAAAACGAACACAAACCGGTCCAAAAGGGGGCTAAACTGGTCCAAAACTGGTCCAAAGCCTCCCAAAACTGACCCAAATCAGTCAAAAATAGGCCAAAAGATAACATGGTGGACGATGGATTTCAAAGACAAACTTATATTTTTGCTGATTCCCTGTTTATTTTGCATGTATTTGATATAAAGATATTTCTCACACCGGACAGTAAAGCGTGTGCACGGTCGATCGGTAATTTTTTTGCGAAGAAGGAAAAAAAACAGCAAAAGAGCAGCTCGGGACGCCAGAAGAGAAACAGAAACACGAGGCAAAGCCTCATTTGCATGAAGGAAAATGACTTAACTGCTTGCATTTTAAGCTAAACCTCCCTAAAGGAAACTGCTTCTGACTGCAGGATGTCAGCGCGATTCTTTAGTTGGAAACCTGAGAATAAACCAAAGATCAAAAGTATAAAAATGACATTTATTAGGTCACAGTTAACCTAACCTTTAGTCGACCTAAAGGTGGATCTAATGCAACAGAGAGAGAAAAAGAGAGAAAAGAGAGTCTGTGGACACAGCCAGAGACTTTAACACAAAATATAGTTATAAAAGAAATAAAACAATCAGTAATTTACATAGATCATGCTATAGCTAATGCTATGCTATAGCTGATGCTATACACTATGCTAAAGTGAGTAATTATAACTAAATTCTAATAAGGATAATAAATCATGCTATAGCTAATGCTATGTTGTAGCTAATGCTATACACTATGCTAAAGTGAGTTATTATAACCAAATTCTAAAAAGGATAATAGATCATGCTATAGCTAATGCTATACACAATGCTAAAGTGAGTAATTATTGCCAAATTCTAACAAGGATAATAGATCATGCTGTAGCTAATGCTATATCTAATGCTATTTATGCTATGTTATGCTAAAGTGAGTAATTATAACCAAATTCTAACAAGGATAATAGATCATGCTGTAGCTAATGCTATATTTAATGTTATAGCTAATACTATAGCTAATGCTATACACTATGCTAAAGTGAGTAATTATAGCCAAATTCTAACCAGGATAATAATCATGCTATAGCTAATGCTATGCTGTAGTTAATGCTATACACTATACCAAATTCTAACAAGGATAATAGATCATGCTATAGCTAATGCCATACACTATGCTAAAGTGAGTAATTATAACCAATTTCTAACAAGGATAAAGGCTTTTCTTCTAACTTTAACAGAGCAAAGACACAATAACTGAGT